TTTGTCCTTCTTCATTAAAAAATAAATAAATAAAAGTGAAAGAAAACCACACAAGCCTGGTGCCAAATCTAAATGTGACTGTCTGGGCCTCAGATTCCTACAGACACCAAGACAATTGAGAAAAGAGGAAATAGGAGGAGGAAGTGGAGAAAGACAAGACTCATAATCATTCTCCCTGGTGCTCTCTTGAGTTGATGTAAGAGCTGGCAGAATCTATGTCTGCAAAGAAGATGCAAGGAAAAGCATGGAATCTAATCCCAAGCATGTTTCTAATATCTTCTCAATTGGCATCTCTATACCAAATTCCTGATTTCATTACTTCCAGGGACAGTTTTCCTGAAGGATCTCACCAAAAATCTTAGTTGGTTCCTATTGGGCAAGAAAATAATTATTAGAAATATTCTAGATAATTTTTAGGTTTTAAATTGGTGTTTTAGTCTCTTTGCAATTCTTGCTCAAATTTTCTTCACCTTCTAAGTCTGAAAAAGTAATTTTCAAATAACTATAATTTGTTGAAAATCATGATTGCAGAATCTTTTAGTCAGTTGAAACAGGGTGGCTAATAGCTTAACTTGAAAATGGAATGGATTACCCATCAGAGTCCCATAGTATACAACTGTGTTTTTGTAACTTAACACAATGAAAGGGTTATCACTAGATGATTCAGCAAGTTAGAATCTCAACTCCTTTTCTGGGAAGGAAATCTGAGGCATGTGTTTATGCTAGATGCTAAAACTGCAATTCTCTCCAATCAGTGTCAGGCAGAGACTATGCACAGAAAGGTAGGAAGTAAGGTCAATCAACTGTCTACCTTGGTCAGAACCAAGTCTTATAGCTAAACCTCTCTCTCTCTCTCTCTCTCTCTCTCTCTCTCTCTCTCTCTCTCTCTCTCTCTTTCTCTCTCTCTCTCTCTCACACACACACACACACACACACACACACACACACACACCAAGTCTTAACTGCTCAATTTCTATAAAGGTTCTTGGTAAAATTTCCCTAGGGCAAAATCACCAGTAACTGGAATTTTCAGTTCATTCAGTATCAGTGGGAAATTTGCCCTGGCTTTTGATTGACAGCCACAAAAACCAGTTTGACTGAAAGTAGTGACACCAGGAGGTCTAGGTGGAGTATTAGCTCACCAACTTGGAATGATAACTTGAAGAATGCTCACACCACTTCTTATGAATACTTCAATCTAAGTCTCTGAAAGCACTGAAGTCACAAAAATGACAGATTTATAGCAGGAAGGTTTTTTATTCAGAACTCAACCACCAAAGAAAAACTCCTTTCATCAGGGAATCCTGAAAAGTAGTGTCTAAAAATCAGCTCCAAGCCAATTGCATTCACTTCTCATCATTGTATGTTCTCCAATTCCCACAGAAACCCCACTGGGCTGAATTTTAAATGGCACAAAAGCACAAGGGGGAGAGGTCTACCCCAAGCTTTCTGGGGGAAAAAGTTTAACATATTTTTTTATGTAAGATTGAAGGCCAGGTGGGGCAATTCTTCTACACATTAGATCAGGATGAAAATAGTTTTTATTCTTTCTCTACTATACTGAATTTAGGAACAAGTATCTCCTATTTTTAAACCTTTAATTGTGCATGCATATGTCTTGATTGTTGACAGTTCTATTTTTCTACAATAAAACAAACTTATCAACTACTGGCCATAGTCTTAGTGCTGTGCTTCCACTAGATTTCTTACCCAGGTTCTGGTCCCAGCATTAAAAAGGGTTCAGTAATCTGGAGAACGTTGCTGCGTGTAGATTCAATAAGGAGTCCAAAGATGAAAGATAATTTTGAAAGGCATTGGGGGTCAGAGGAGCTTCAGCTAAAGGAACAAAAGACTCTCTTTGATTCATGATCCCATGCTTTTTTATTAACACAATTTGCCCTAAGGCAAGGTGGAGATAATACACTTCAAAGGATAGGGTTTACAGAAGCATTGTCTAATTAGGGAATAGTCTACAGCTGTTCGGGTGTTTGGCCAACAGGAGGCAATAACATGTAGATTAAGATGCCCTGAGATGTCTGCCAGCAAATGATTATCCTATTCAGCTTTGGGGGAGATGCTTTTTAGCTGTTCCAACAGCTAAACTACATAAACTACATATGTGGCTCACCCCTTGTTGAGCCCTCCAAGCTTCATCAACCTTTTGATGAAACACTTGTAATTATGACATGCTGGAATTGGTTCCCTGCAAATTCTGTCCTTTCAACCCATGTTTGTGGGGACTGGTCTCATTTGAAAATACCAGGTTAACTTTAAAAACATTTGTCTAATTGAAGTAGAACCAAAATAATTAATGTCTTGAAATTATGTTATTCAGAAATTGGAAATATAAAGTGCTTAAATCTGGTCCACACTTTTCATTGGAGAGAGTGCTATGATTCAATATGTAAAATAAAGGTCATGAGTGCCTGAGTCAGTGAGACCTGAGTAGGAGGAGTCCAGGGTGTGTTACTCACCAGCCTGTGACTCTAGCCTGCTCACTTACCCATAAGAGCCTCAATTTCCTCACCTGGAAACAGCTCCACACAGAAACGCTATAAAATTCTATTGCAATGGGAGGGGCTACATACTATTTAATTGTCCCTCCCTCTCCCCCTAAATGTACAGAAACTAGATAGGAGTTTTTGTCATCTTCCCCCAAAGGTGGCTGGGATCTGGAAACGTAAAGGAGAACCACAGAGAGAATCACTTGATGCTCCTGAGAATACTAGGTTACTAGGTAAAACTGAAATTTTTCAAATGGAAATGCCAATTTTTCCTAACTTTTCATAAGACATTTTGATTTTGCATAATGAACATACTCAACTCTGCTTTTATTTGAAAAAAATTTATTTGAACAAAAATGTTTATTGAGAGCCAACTAAATGACTGACACTGTTTTAGTTGCTGTGCTCTGGAAGGTAGCCTGCTTTCTAAGACCTTAGCGGAGCTTGGGTGGCTGATTAGGGCATCACGATCTGCATGGTGCTGGGTGGGGTGTGTTTAAGGACAAAATGGAAGTTATATGCAGGTTTTTAGACAGAGAAGGGTGTGATGGGTGTCATGGGAAAACTGATTGGATAGATAACAGAGTGAAGGGTTAGAATGAGGATGCCTCAACTCACTCGCCCCTGCAGCCCTAACATCTGAGGAATCCCGCCAGCAGTAGGACTCCAGCCAGGACAGAAGGCACCATTCCCTTTGTTGGATGCATGGTGGTGAAGGAATGGTGCACTTGTGCAGATCTGCCTCCCTACTCCATAGCAGACAGTGATGCCAGCTTCCCTGCCAACACTCAGTTTTCCATTTGTCTATTTCCTCAGGCTAGTGTGGATAATGGCCTCACTTTTGCTAGCATATCTCAGGCCATGCTTCCTCTTAAGTCCTCCGCCCAGAGTGAATTGCCGTTGGTAACTCTAGTTGGCTCCTCACATTTAGTATGCGTCCTGCTCTCTAGTTTTGGCCCAAATTTCTAGGATTCTGGCCTCAGCCTGAGCTTCCAGATTCACCAGGCCCACTCACCTTTCTTTTCTGAATTGATAACTCACCATCTTGGCCTTTGGCCTCTTTATCTGGCCACCCTGTCCTCTCCCCATGCTGCCCGATGGTCCAACCTGCTATTCAAGGGCTAAACAGGTTTAGAACCAGACTTCTCTGCAAGAACCACATCAGAAAGTTGGTCTGACACCCCTTTTCTGCTTTTATGTGCAGAACCCATCTCAGGGGATTGGCTGGGAAGACCACAGTTCATCCCCCCAACCCCCTCACAGCACTCCCCCCCCCAATCAATGACTGTGACTCTAGTCATTCCAGGTTCTCTCAATCATGTGCCACCAGTTTGCTTGCATCTCCTCCCCTCCCCTCCCCTCCCCTCCCCTCCCCTCTCCTCTCCTCTCCTCCCCTCTCCTCTCCTCCCCTCTTCCCTCTTCCCCTTCCCTCTTTCCTTTCCCCCTCCCTCTTCCCCCTTTTCCCTCCCTCCTCTTCCCTCTTCACCTCCCCTCCTCCCCTTCCCCCTTCCCCCCCCATCCTTCTTCCCCTCCCCTCTCCCTTCCCCCTTCCCCCCTTCTCCTCTCCACTCCCCACCCCTCCCCTTTCCCTCCCTCCTCCCCTACTTTCCGCCTCCTACCCCTCCCCCTTCTCCGCCCCTCCCCTTCCTCCTCCTCTTCCTTTCTTCTTCTTCTTCTTCTTCTTCTTCTTCTTCTTCTTCTCCTCCTCCTCCTTCTTCTTCTTTCTTCTTCTTCTTCTTCTTCTTCTTCTTCTTCTTCTTCTTCTTCTTCTTCTTCTTCTTCTTCTTCTTCTTCTTCTATCCTTCCCCCATACTGAAGACCTCCATGGGCCCTTCTTGGCATCACTTTTCCTGACAGCAATGCTCAGCAGTAAAAAAATGTCTGAGCTCTTGATGTAGACTAATGCCATCTTTGTTTTATACCAGATTTGTTTTGGAGGCCCCTGTCCAGGAAGGCTGGACAGTCAGAGCAGCCTGCAGAGCATGCCATAGGCAGAGCAAAGAAGGGTGCTCTGTAATTTTCCTGACAGCTTCCTCAAATTCATGGGCAATGGCTTGAATGCCTTGCCTTTAACAGACCAGGAAAGGAGCTCAGACCTCAGGAAAGTATCCCGGGTTTTGAATTTAATCAGTGCAAAAGTGGAAGTGAACTCAGAGCTCTTAAACTAAAAATTGTCCTGCATGGAGCAGGATCACAGCCCACCATCTTTCAAAGTCTCAAGCCAGGCAGGTCACAGTGTGGACATTTACACTTGGCAGTTCCTAGTAAACTGTACTAGACTTTCCTGTGGATCTTTTATCCTGTAAAGGAGTTACACAATTAATTTCTTGTTGAGGATTAATATTTTCTCTCCTCCCTATGACTGTTTCTCATGTCCTGCCTCTGGTTTCACTTGTCCCAACCCTTTTGAAGGGCGGGACATTCCTTCTCCCTCCCCTCCCAACTGCAGCTTGTAATCAGGACCAATGAAAGCAAACTACCTCATCAACTCAGAGTATTTAAGAGGTTGTAGGAATGGGCTGAAAATCGGCTTTTGTTTTCTGTGCAGACAGGCACACTCCCATCTGATTTGGGCCATCTCTCAGCTGCGGAGTGAAGGGGGAAAAATAACCTTCGGACTCCCTGCCACCATGTGCTATGGCAAATGCGCACGATGTATCGGACAATCTCTGGTGGGGCTCGCCATCCTCTGCATTGTAGCTAACATCTTGCTGTACTTTCCCAACGGGGAAACAAAGTACGCCTCTGAAGAACACCTTAGCAAGTTCGTGTGGTTCTTTTCAGGCATCATAGGAGGGGGCTTGCTGGTAAGTTGTTCAAAATTATTACAACCTTAACAACTTCTTTTAAATGTGATGATTTCTTGTGTTTTTTTAATGGATTTTTTTCTTTATAATGCCTATTTCCAAATCCAGTGATTTTTGTTCATTCTTCTTTTCAAAACAGATTATGCAAAAGTTAAGATAGGCATAAGATACTAATTTTATTGGATGTAGTTTTACAAAATCCTCTTTCAATTAAAAGTGAACTATCTTTTTGCTAAACTCTTACTTTACAACTATTGTAGAAACAGATACTAGCTGTTAAATCAGATTTGAGAGACTGGAGTTTCTAACCCTGAAGCTGGCAGCCCTGGATCATTTTTGCTCTGGGGAGTTGAGAGGAGTCAGCTGGTTTTCTGTCTAAATCAACAAAACTTGGGATCCAAAATCTCTACTGTTTGTCCTCAAGTAATGAGACAGAAAAAAATTTGTGAGTGAATTATTATTTAGAAAGAGCTATAGAATTTTTCCTTTATGTAATTCTTGGGTGTGGTGTCCAGGAAAATCTTGCCGCTCACAGCAGATCAGTTTCTGAAGCTAGAGTGGAATGTGTTGTTTTTTCAAAGTTTATTTTTAATTGAAGTGAGAGGAATGTGCTTGCCAATTTTGGAGCTGAAAATACAGTTGTAAGCATAGCATGGAAAGAATGTGTACAAAGTTGAGCTTGCTACTTTAAAATGCTGGGATTGAGAATTTTAAAGAGAAATTTATAGAATTGCTAATACTAGACAAAATAGTTTTTATATTCAAATAAAGGATATTTAAACCTTGATACACTAATTAGAGTTTGATAAATCTGCTTTGGATTTAAACATTACTAACACATTAATATAACCATTTGTCCTTCAATAATATTGTACTTGTTTAAGCTTCTTTTTATCTCAAAGTATTTCATACTTTATTTAAAGAGTTTTGTTATAAAGTTAGTAGAGGCCCAGTGTCCCTCAGCCCAGCCAATCTGGGATATCCCACTCACAATCCATGACTACTGGCTCCTAACTGCCCACTTGCCTGCTTACTTGATTGCCCCTTACTGCTTTTGCCTGCCAGCCTGATCACCCCCTAACCACTCTCCTGCCAGCCTGATTGACGCCTAACTGCTCCATGCCAACCCAATTGCCCCCATCTGCCCTCCCCTGCTGGCCTGATTGACCACAACTGCCTTCCCCTGCCAGTCTGATCTTCTCCAACAGCCCTCTCCTGCAAGCCTGGTCCCCCCAATTCCCCTCCTCTGCAGGCCTCATTGCTTTCAACTGTCCTCCCCTGACAGCCATCTTGTGGTGGCCATCTTGTAATGACATTGGGGGTGGCCATCTTGTGGCGGCCATCTTGTGATGACATGGGGGCAGCTATCTTGTGCTGATGTGAGGGCAAGACGCCATCTAGGCTTTTATTAGTATAGATAACCATACAATCATGTCTTCAAAGAAGCAGTTCACTTTTATTATTACAGAGCTTCCATCTCTTCCATTTACAAAAAAAAGTGTCAGTTATTCTGTTAAAGATTGTTGTTATCTTCTATGTTTTACAATGAAAAACAAATCAGATTTAAAGGCAAGTTTTAATAATTGCAAAACAACACTTGCAAAAACCCAGCAGCAGTTGCAGTTAGGACTATGTTAGAAACTTGAGTGAAATAAGCACATTCAAAGGTTATTGTTTTAGTCCTCCTATACCACACCCTCACCTTAAAGAATGCTTTGACAGATTACATGAAAATAAGCAGATATTACATTTAGAGGGGTTTTTTCTCTTCATCATGTCACATTACTTGAGATACTTGTTCAATTTAATCCAATGCCAGTCAACAATGTCAGAAGTAAATATATTTTACCAAAGGTACTTAACCTGACCCTTAATGGACTTGGGGAAAGACAATAACTTTAATCTGCTTGTTTTCTAATCAGATATTCCTGCCAGCATTTGTCTTTATTGGGTTGGAACAAGAGGACTGCTGTGGCTGTTGCGGCCTTGACAACTGTGGCAAGAGATGTGCGGTAGGTCCTCCTGCTCTGGTGGAGACATTGGTTTCCACATCATTGCAGGACACTCTGTGGCTCACTTCTGGTGTTTCTCCTCCCCTAGATGCTTTCTTCTGTGCTGGCATCTCTCATCGGAATTGCAGGGTCTGGCTACTGCGTCGTTGTGGCAGCTCTGGGCTTAGCGGCAGGACCACTATGTCTTGATTCCTCCAACCAGTGGAACTATACCTTTCTGGACACTGAAGGACAGTAAGTAATTGTTCCATAACAGACCACACAATATTATCTACCACATGTGTATAGTGCAGACCCATCAAACTAAAAAGGCATCATTCATCCATTCATCCATCCAGGATGCTCTCAAGGTTGATATTCTTCACTTTTCCTCCTTCTGTGAAATAAAAGCTAAGCTCCCTGCTTTGGCATATAAGACCCTCAGTGGTCTGTCCTCTGCCTATTTCTCAGGCTGCTGTGAACCCAGGCCTGACTGCCGCCATAGGCGGCCAGAACCTAGGCCTGACTTCTTCCCCAGGACACCCCAACCCCTTGCCTCACTGCCTCTCTGCCTGGGTCTGCTTCAAGACTACACAAGTCAGTGTGGTGGCTCAGCCAGCCCCAGAATCCCCCTACCCCCTGCCACCCTGCTTGTGTTCACTCTGGGACTGCCCAAGCCAGTGTAGCTGCACAGAAGCTTGGGCAGGCCTCCCTGTCTCTGTCTCCATCTCCGCTCCAGGCCTCACTTGCTGCGTAGCCTCCTTCTGACCAGTTGTGACTGTTACAGCATCCTGGCTTAATTTGCATAATTTGCATATTACCTCATATATATATACAGATATGACCTTAGCATTATTTCCTAACCTTTCTCACAGTAACTTTGGATTGTTAAGTATCATTCAATTACTTTAAAAATGTGTTGAGAACCTACTATGTGTCAAATAGTGATCTAAGGACTAGATATACAATGATGAAAGGTCTGGTTTCCATCTTCATGCAGCTCAGACTTGTGGGAAAGCTACATATATAGATCTTCTCCCTGATCTAGGATAGGTTTCATTCCTCTGTGTCCCTTTCACGCTTGATTTACCTGATTACTATTGTATATCTGTTGCATGAGATTGCCTATTGTCTGTTCCCTGAAATTGTGCTTTTCCAGAACAGAGCCCATGCTGTGTTCACTATTGCATTCCCAGCCCTGGCTCAATATTCTGTTAATTTTTATGTTTATCATGGCAACAAAATTGGGCTAAACTGTCATTTTGTGGAGTGACATGGATTGGAAGAAGTTGAGATAGGCCATTGAATTATTTTATTCCTTTTTTCTGAATGAAGAAACACCCAACAAAAAAGTAGTTTATGAAATATTCCATTAGGTGTGGTCATGTGTCAGAAATTTCTCTTTTTATGCACAGATACCTTCTGGACAAATCCACATGGTCCCAGTGCATTGAACCCAGGCATGTTGTGGAATGGAATGTTTCTCTGTTTTCTATACTCTTGGCACTAGGTGGAATTGAATTCATCTTGTGTCTCATTCAAGTAATAAACGGAATGCTTGGAGGCATATGTGGCTATTGCTGTACTCACCATCAGGTAAGGACCTGCGTGAAAAAATCATAGCCTGTCCCTCTTGTAGTCAAGCAATATAATGCACCATAACAGAGGAAAAAAGCAAAAATCAAACATTGCTCAGCCTACTAGCATTTATTCCTACATTGTCTTTGTGACAAAGTATTTATAGTGTTCAGTTTGCTCTCAATAATAAGATCCTTGAATGTTACAGTCACCTTCATAATTAGCTCTGTGGATAGGGGAAAATGCCACCCATAGACAAAATGTCCCATTCAGGAGCCAACCCACTGTTCTGGCTGCAGACACAAAAGAAATGTCCTCTCTTTTCTTCTCTCCTGTTACCAACTAGTTTTCACAAATAATAGCCAAAATTCATTGCATTATCCATAGTGCAAACCCATTTTTCAGCTGAGACTGTGACTCAGACATTAAGCAATATGCTTAAAATTACTTAATCAAGAAAGTAATGAGCTTCCAACCCAGGGTCATTTTTTGCCGCAGCACTTGCTCTTAACCTGTATGCAATACTTGCTGTTCTGCTGAGTTCTCTACAGCCCCTTCCTAATAAAAAGCTCAAACAGCTAAACAGAGAGAATCACTAGTAGCCTTTCAATAGCAGCTCATGAAAAGCTTTTCATTGTGAAAGAAAACCAGGAAGCAGTTGTTTCCTGGGGATATGATTTTGGAGAAAAATATGTATTTGTTAGTAGTGGGGAACATCTTGTTTCTATAGCCTCCTAAAAATTATATATTATTAAATTGACGGAAGTTCAGCTTTGGTTCAATTTGGAGGATGGTGTTGTTTTATGTCTTATTCGTAAAATAGGATTAGATAAATAGAAAATTATTTAATGTATATTTCCCTAGCCATTTACTTCTCTGTAAATGGTTCAAGGTCTCTTAACTTTCTTTTAAAGTAAGATAAAACTAAGTGAACATCAAAAGCCCACTATTACCATAAAAAAATACATGGCGCTGTAAATAAATGGAAACTTTCTATAATTTTTGAGGGAAAGTTAAAATAAAACTCTAGTTTGCCTTGTCAGGCAAGATTAATCCAGCAAGGTTAATAATTTTCTTGGGAGCTTGCCAAATTCCTAAGAAAACAAAGAAGTGGGAACGCTTTACCATGAGCTGTTTCCAGCAAGATGGTTTGGCAGAGACAGGGAAGAGTCTTCTGTGATTACTAAGTAACCTATCTTTAGTTTTGAGCTTCACTTAAGGCACCATTTAAATTTTGTGGGGCCCCACTAGACCTCTTTTCTCATGCATCTTGGGGACAGGCATGATATGTCAATGACCAAAGTTACTGTAGTGGTTTAGCAGAATGACACTCTCTCCTGGGAGGGAACAAACAGTCCCCCTGGGTTTACATTGTGTCACAGTAGGATTGGCTGCTTTTCCCAACACTGCAGAGCAGCTCTGTTACCTTTGTTTATAAGACAAAAGTGACTTTCAAAGGACAAGGTTTTTACTGAAGATGAGTCAACTGTAGAACTCGGTAGCATTTAATGAGAAAGGTTACCCACACTGAACCCATTCCTATGTGAAACTCCCATGGCATTGTCTCTAAAATCCTTAAGATTAAAAACCTACCCAACATGTTCAAAGCCAACTCAGCATTAGTAAGCTACAGTTTCTATGGCCCCTTTCTGCAGTTTTTACTCCGAGAGGACAACTGGTCTGTCTGGTTTGTTTAGGAAATGTTTTGTGAGCATTGTCTAAGTTCTAGTGTTGTCCCTAGAAGCTCTGCTGAAATTGAGATAAGCTAGCTTCATGCTTGCTTAAAATAGGAATGTAAAAGACTGAAAAGCCATCATTGTTCATTTAGCCTGTTTGTAATCTAATGCATATTTCTTTTTTTTTTACAGCAATATGACTGTTAAAATAACCACCCCAAGACAGAACCACAATCTTCCTTTATTTCAATGTAATTTATATATTTTACTTGTATTAATTTGTAAAACTTTGTACTAGTGTGTCATACTTCTTATATACTCCTTTTATAAGTTTGTGTCAAGACTAGCATTTTCATGTGATGTCAGTGTTTGCACTTTGCAAACAAATATCTATATTTTTTATGGAATGAGAAAATAAACCACACTCTTGAGGTAATTTACAGATGAAGTAATGGTCCTCAGTGCATCTGACATAAGCTCTGGCTTGAAATAATGTTTTTAAGAAACACTGCAATGATAAATATTACATCCAAATTTCTGCTGTATATATGTGTTTGTGATTATTAAGTGAAAGATTTCTAGTAGCTTTTTAAGATCATGAAGGAGAAAATCCAACAACTTGAAAAGATGAAGCCTCTAACATGAAGCCTCTGCACTGTTTTTGCCTTCTGGGAGGGACAGCTCCTTGCCCAGAGTGGGAGGACTGACTCACAATGCTCCAAGTCTAATGAATGAGTCAAAACATACAATGCTGCTGGTTGCTGCAAGCACTTCCAGATCCTAAGTTTTCCTAACAGTGCAAACTGTTTTGTCCTTCAAAGGCAAGCACTGAGGATTACATATTTAAGAAGAAAAAGGCCTGGATAATTAGACAGGAAGGATGATGAGAAACGGAATAAACCACCATGAGAAAACGGGGGAGAAGGGAAACAAGGCAGGAGGACCACAAGGAAATATCCCTAATTTGCTTGTTTAAATATTAATACAACAAAATAAAGTAACCACTACCATTTTTTTCTTGTTTAGTTTCTTTGTCCTTTGTTTAAAATTTCTCCTTTCTTTTTCTCCCTATTTTTTCCGAGTCTGCAGGTTGTGAAACCCCTATTGTTAGGCACTGTGTATTTCCCTGTTTCTTTACCCCACTTTCTCTCCTTCACCCCTCCCTCCTCTCCTACCTTCCTCTGCTCATTGCTCTGCCATCCCTCAGAGGCCTCACCTGTTAGGTAGCCTACCTTTCTGCTGGATAAACAGGCTGGGGTGGAGGAGAGATGAAAAACATTTTCTTTCTTGATATTTTATGTTGGTTGTACAGAGTTAGGCTCTTTCAAGTGACAGGATCCCCTGATTTATTTATTGGGTATTGTTTTCAGAAATTTTCTGCATTCAATGTTGTCTGATGATTGAGCTAAGCCATAATGACCACTGTAACAGGATGGTATGTTAAGACAAATAAATGAAGCAGGCAACTCCATAAAATAGAATATATTGCAGGGTAATTTACTTATGGGAACTTTAGGTCTGAGCAGAATACACGACCCAACAATTCTGCACAGATTATTCTCTGCTACGGACTCCTGTTACTATACTTTAAAAAGTAGTATGACAGGTATTAATAATTGACAATACAGGCACAAAGACTGCAGTAACAACAGGGGCCACGCCTCCTGGTGATCTTGCAATAGATGAGTGATTATAATCATCTATCACCAGTTTGATATTTATCTCCAGTTGTCCAACGATGTTTATGGCTACATTTTAAGGTGCACAGATGTCATCAACTAGAAAGCTTTGATATACTTACCAAGAACAGTGAGTGAGGTTAATGAAAGGTTGAAGCATGAAACAAAAAATGAAATGAAATCTGGAACTCAGAGATGGAGTTGTTTTTGCTCACATCTATCGGGTCTAGTAATAATTAATGTCGTTTTTAAACATTTGTTTAAAATCTTGCTTGGCGTTGACTTGTATTGACATAACCTTCAAACACGTGGTATCTACAGAACGTGTGAAGTGCAATTAACAAGTTTTGCTTGAAAAAGTTTGTGTTTGGTTTGGTTTTTGTTGCAAAACTAGGGCTAAGAAGATGGCGGATGAAGAGCATTTTCGGCACTGCATGCTTTACGAGTTCTAATTAGGAAGAAAAGCAAGTGAGGCTGCAAAAAACATCTGTAGTGCTCTTGGTCAAGATGCAGTTAGGGCCAGAAAATGCCAGCGTTGGTTTGAGAAATTTCGCGAGGGAAATTTTTTGTTAGATGACAAGAGTGGTCGAGGCCGTGTGTCCAATTTTGATCAAGAAGCTCTTCAAGCTCTTTTGGTGCAAAATCCTCAAATTACCCAACAAGAGCTTGCGACAACTTTAAATTGTTCACAAAAAACAATTTACAATCAATTGTGTGCACTTGGCAAAGTCCAAAAGTTTGGAAAATGGGTTCCTCATGAGTTGACCGACAACAACCGTAATCAAAGAGTCACAATTTGCAGTTCGCTCCTCTCTCGTCAAAACCGTTTGCCCTTTTTAGAGCAAATTGTTACCGGAGATGAAAAATGGGTGCTGTATGTTAATTTGAAAAGGCGGCCTCAATGGTTGGACAAAAATGAGGCTCCGCAGCCCACGCCAAAACCTGACTTGCATGCGAAAAAAGTGATGTTGTGTGTTTGGTGGAATTTTAAAGGAATTCTTCATTATGAACTTTTACCATCTAACCAAACCATTACAAGTGCAGTGTATAGTGCCCAATTGGAAAGGTTAGCCCAAGCTTTAAGAGAAAAAGAACCCGCGCTGATTAATCGGAAGGGCGTAATTCTTCACCACGATAACGCACGACCGCATACTGCAAGAATCACTGCTGAAAAACTGCGCCAGTTGGAATGGGAAGTTCTCCCTCAACCTGCATATTCTCCTGATATTGCCCCTTCTGATTACCATTTGTTTCGTTCTTTGCAAAACTTTCTTCTTGGAAAAAAATTTAATAATGAAGAATGCCTCAAAAATGCATTGACCAAATTTTTTGCATCAAAATCACAAGAATTTTACAACAGAGGGATTAAAATGCTTCCTGAGCTTTGGGCACAAGTAGTAGAAAACAACGGCAACTATATTGTTGATTAAATTTTGTTGTATTGTTTAAATAAATTCGATTTTAAAAAGTATTAGAAAACGACATTAATTATTACTAGACCTAATACATCTCTAAAGGTGTTCATTTTTCTTGGCAACAGACATGCAGTTAATAAAGCAGCTTTGTTGGCTGTTAGACCACAGAGCTCCTCCTGCCTATGAGACACCCAATAGCACTTTCTTGACTGAAGGATTCTAATCTTTGTTGTACCTCTGTCTCTCTGGCAGTCTGATGAAGCCTACAGACTTTGATGAAGGATACTGTTTAAAGAACAGACTATCTAATTGATGGGGAAATAAGACATTTTTTTGAGGGGAGTGGGCTAGTAGCCTGACTCTGTACCTAATCAATATCCCTAATGCACATTCTTGTTAGCTGATAATTAACTCATTGTCCCTTCCTTAATTATCTGGTCTTGCAAGACATAAATACTCTAATTTTACAAAGGCCATAAACCATGAACAATACACAACCCCCAGAGGATGTTATCAGCGCTGTCTCCAGGCCAGGCCTTTAAGTGTGGTCTCACGTCCCCCATCCCAACACATGGGGCTTTTTGCAAAGTCTGTGAAAGGTCCGGAAATCTGATCCATATGTAGGGTACAAAGAAACCAAAATATATAAAGAGAAAGAATCCTCTACATTGGCTTGCTTAGGATTTGGAAACAGGCTCTCCTGATCACAGTACTAGTACATCTGGAAATAAATGTTTTTGTTTTTGTTTTTATTTTTTCTGGTATCACTGGTATTCCTATGTGTACTTTCTGGTCACCTGCTAAATTCTGTAACATAATCTCAGAGGGAAGGCAAGGGAGGGTGGTGGTGGTAGGAGATTAACCAAAGGACTTGTATGCATGCATATGAGCATGGACACAGACAGAAGGGGAAGTGAGGACATGTGCTGGGATGGTGAGAATGGCTGGGGAGAAGTCAATGGGGCAAAAGGAGACATATGTAATACTTTAGACGATATATATATATATATATATATATATATATATATATATATATTTTTTTTTTTTTTTAAAGGTGAATAGCCTTGGCTGAGTAGCTCAATTGATTAGAATATCATCCTTATACACCTAGGTTGTGAGTTTGATCCCTGGACAGGGTACATCCAATGAATGCATAAATAAAGAGAACAACAAATCCATATTTCTCTCGCTCTCTCTTTCTCAAAAAGAAAGAGAAAATTAAAAGTGAATAAATGAAGGTATATATGGTTACAAAGTAAATCAATATGTTGCAGTATTTTATCAAAATGATTTTGAAAATTATGACATGGTTTTCTTGATGGCCAGCTCCATCATATCAGTGTCTGTGCACAGGTAAACAGTGACCCCAGGTGACTAGCAGTAGTCTAATGAGTGGGTCTAAGAACTACTGTTCTTCTGAAACATGATTCCAATTGAAATTAGATTTCAAGCTACCTGCAATGACTTTAATGTGATATGAAAATCATATGTAACTTTGTATAGTTGATGAAAGCATGATCAGTATTGCTGATACTACTGAGATTTGCTGCATGCAGTCATAATAAAGGAAATACTAAATGTTCATTAGAGTTTGACAAAAATAATGACTTTTTCTCCCATCTAAGTTTAATATTCTTTTTAACAGATATCTATCTATCCATGGACCTCATGTGAGTTCTTGGAAAGGTTAAGAATCCATGCAATAGAGTATCTAAAAAAGAGGCATAATGATTAGTTATAAGCATCTTGTTTTTCTAAATGTATACTCAAAAGAAATGGTATAATTACTTACATTTATCTATATAAAAGCCTAACATGGAAAGTGTCTCCGCAGGTGTTTAATTGGGAGATCAAGAGTTCTATTGCTTGCTATGATGTGTGCTGACCACCAGGGGGTGGCATGGAAAGAAAGAAGGCCCTGGCAGGCAGCCGGCAGCTAGGGAAAAGAGGGCCCTAGTCAGTAGCTGAAAGGAAGGTCTTGGCCATTAGCCAGAAGGCCCTGATCAGCCCTAATCATTGGCCAGGCCTAAAGACCCTACTGTGCATGAATTTTATGCACTGGGCCTCTAGTGATAGTAATGATAACAACCACTGAATTCCTTCAATGTGTTAGTTACTGTACTTGGTTCCTATACATATTATTTCACCAAAATCACTTATTAGGTGATGCTTGTCTCCATATTAGTCAAAGTTTAGAGAGATTAAGTAATCTGCCCAACAGCATATCTTTCCCAAGTGATAAAACTATGATCCAAACTCAGATTTAATGTGAAAACCCAGATTTTAGCTCCTCTTGTTGGCTCTCTGCCTCTGTTGTCTCTGCCAGCATGTTGGGATCACAGCTCCTCCAACACTGTCTCACCCTCTCCACCACCTAAGGAAGCTTTGACAAGCCCCTGTGACCTCTTCATTCCTATCCCAGGGCCCAAATTGAGTGATTCACTTTCCCCTGGTTTGTAAATTCTTTAATAATTGCCATTGCCCAAAGTAAATAGCTTATTCAAGTTACCAGCTATGCTGAAACTGTAATATTCTAAACCCCTCAATTTGGGTGGAAATTTCCGCAGGAATACTGAAATAGCTCTTTATCACCTGGCTGCATAAAACAATAAAAATGTTGTAGAATTTGAATCACCTGATTAGCAAACATGGCACCAAGGTTACATACTTCAATCTAAGGGTCATAGGAAATAGTAACCAAATTTACCATGGTTACCAAATGTACAAATAACTGCCCTCATAAAGAATACCCTCTTGAATCAAAATCTAAGAAAACTGATGGGCTATTACCTTCATTACAACTTGTCTTTTACATATGTACAAGAATGCTCCAATCATGCTCCTACTGATGCTCACACTCTGTGGGAACAGATATGGATCTGGTGCAACTTTTTAGAAAAGCAACAATTTATAAAGTC